AATGCAGAAACTCCCCTATTGTTTCTGTCTAGTTTGTTATTGTCCCAGACATTAAAAGTACTACAGTCTAAAAAACTCCTAAACAGTAAACATGATATCTGACAGTTTTAAAGACATACAGATCCAAGGTAAAAGTCCAGAAGAACTTCTATAGGAAAATTTACTGTCTGTAACAGATCCATTGTAATGTGAGTTATTCAAAAAGAGGTACAGTCTGAGGTCTAATGCATTATATATACATAATTTCCTATCGCAACTGAAGCAACTGAAGTAGTCTCCTGTGTTAAAAGTACCTGAGTGGAAAAAAAAAAAAAAAAGAGAGAGAGAAAAAATAAAAAAATACTTCTCATCTCCTTGCAAAAGAAACAACCAATGTTCAGAAAGAAGTTTTCAATTTGAAGTCTTTAACTTCACCTTCAAACTTTCTTTCAGACTGGACTACTTAATAAAGAACTTTTTATGCCTTATTTCATATTATTACACCAGAATTAAAAAAAAAATATAAACACGCAAGCAAAGCAAAACCAGTCCAAGAAAAAGCCAGTTATTAAAACAGTAGTTTATTGGCATTTACAATTGATTCAATGCCCACTGACACCAAACTTTGAATCAGACTTGCTCTATCTAGATGAATGTCTGCAATTAGGTTTTATGCAATGTTGCATAAAGAGTTAAAGACTCTTTGAAACTTTGGATTTTCAGCACTGAAACAGGCTATAGCTGCTGCCACCAATTTTGAAATTAGAGCAGACTATTTGATACTATTTCATTCATTCACATATAAGTTAACATATTGCTCAAGAAAAAGCCAATTTATTTAAAGAGTCATGATGAGTAACTCAATGCAAAGTTGTTAAATAATAACAGTAGCTCAGTAACTCAGTGCAATGTTGTTAAATGCTGTCACTTGTCTGTTGAACCTGAATTTTATTATATGGTGATGAATAGCATCTAAATAATAATACAATTGTACTATGTTGGATGTAAATTTTGTTCTAATTTCTAGCTAAAGTGTTCTAAAATAACAAAAGAGAAATCATATGTTTAATGTTATGAAATTCCATGAACTTAAAAGAGAGCCAGGCCCTCAAATTAAAAGTTTAGTATATTTTTAAGTGCTTTGACCCCAAAGGTAAGAAAAATTATTAAATGCTAAATGCACATGAAAATGGTTTGGTGTACTTGAAACTAAATTCTGTGAGACCGCTGTGTTAACCTCAAGACAACAAGTTAATAAGTTACAATACAAAAAAAAAAAAAACCCAAAAACTCAGATTGCCAAAATTATTATTATGTCTGAGACATTATCTAGAGGAGAAATATTCCCCAAGTGGGAATCTAATAGAATATATGACACCTCATATGCCCAACATGGGCGTACAACTTCCACTGGACCAGATTGCTCAGAGCTTCATCCAACTTGGCCTCTTAAAAAGGACTTTCTTGTACAAGAGCCTTTTGCTCTTTCAAAAGGCACATCACTCCTTTTCAGTACTTTTCCCAGGACAATATGGGTGCCATGAAGTCAAATGTAAAAGCTGTATATTCTTTCTTTTATGTATCTTAATGATTTACTATACATGCCCCCGCTTATGATTTCTGCCACAAGTCTTGTAAAATGGGCTCAAACTTCAACCTGAGCAGTGGTATGGGGCATACTACATAAGTATGACAAGTATCAGAACTAGAAGTTTTAATAGTTCTGTGCTCATCAGGTTTGCATTGCATAAAAAGAGATATGATGAAAAAAACCAAAAACCCCTAGCTGTGAAATATAATTACTTGTAAAGTGAATTCCTTTCAGAGAGAAGGAGAAAATCCTATAATTAATACCTTTAACATTTTTATTACGAAACAATGTTACTGCTTTTTGTGTTTGGGGTTTTTATAGGAATACAAATGAGAGTTAGTCTACCCATATGCATATTCCTATCATTCCATCTTAGCCATGTAAAGGACAATAAAGCACTAAATTTGTATTTTCTGTGTTACTTTTTATCTTGTGATGACCTCTCCTGGTTGAGCTGTTCATTAGCCTTGATTCCAGAAGGATGTTTTCATCCTTCCACGCTTATTAAAAAAAATAAAAATTGCAGGAATATTAAAAATTTATTGCCTGGGTATGAAAACATGATCATGAATAGAATTGACAGCAAGATCTGAGCATTAATGTGTGGGATATTGTATCACAGTGGATGTTTATTATACTACAGGATAGCTTTCAACACCCACTTATCTTGAGATAAAACTAAATGAGAGTAAAAGCTTTCAACACAATCACTTCTGAATCAGTACTACTGAGAGATAACTAGAGATAGATTTACTTTGCAAAATAAACAAACATTTGAGATAAAGCATATTCACATCAGCAATGTCCAATGCTATTCTTTCTGAAAGCTGTATCTTTTCCTATGCCAGCACTAGCAGACCAGACTGTGAGAAAATACTGAATAGCAAGCTCATATATAGGGATTTGTAATGCACTGTACACCATAAGACTTGCATACTTCTTAAAAAATACTGTAGAGAATAAATTTGATGTTGTTAATAACTTCAAAGCCAAAACATAAAGTAACAATGGAGGACAAAATGAAATAGTGGTTGGAAATAAGTTTTACATCACAGTTCCATTTCACACAGTTTTTAATTGTTTTAGAAATATTCTGAATATGAGGTTCAAAATCAACGGGGGGGGGGGGGGGAGGGAAGGAGAAAAAAAAAAAGGGATGATGAAAACTAGATATACTATCCTGTCAACAGCGAACAAAATTCTCCAATCTCATTCACAAAATTCTCCAATCCCATTCAGTTGTAGACAAAGTTACAAGCAACCCCAGAAAATAGATCACAATGACAAAACACAGTACAGTGACCAGTTTGTATAGCAAAGCATGCAACAGAATAACCAGCAAAGTGGTGCACCAAAACAGTGTGACACAGCACTGGAGTTCCCAAAGTGGCACCAGCACCAAGCATCCATAAGCTTTACAACAATTTTCAACATGTGCTGCAATGTGAACAATCCTTTTGTCAATTTAAGGCTGACGTGTATTTCTCGCTATATTTATGTTTCCAGCAAACAAATCTAGCTCCATTTCACTTTAAGAAGTGAGTCAGAAATGAAATGAAATGCCACTCACTAAATAAGGAGTATAATGTATAAGCTCTTGGAAGGTGAATTGATATAAAGAAATTTTTTTTATAGCTAATCATCAAGATGGGAATGTATCTGACTATACTGTAATTAAGATTATATATATCCCCCATTCCTGGAATTTCTGGGTATAATGATGTTACTACAACCATTAACTTCTCAACAAACTTCTTTCAAAAGTTAAAGATTTGTTTGTTGGGAAATCAATAACCCTCTGTAGGTAATATTCAAGTTATACTGTAGCCATTAGTTGCTGAGTGACAAAAACAAACAATAAAAGCTCCAAAACCCTCCTAGAAAAAAGCAGGGACTTTGTTTTCAAAGAACAGATTTCTGACAACCTAAATCATGAATCCTCTCCCCCACATATTCCTATTATGCAGAGCCTGAGAGAGGACCATGAAGAAATAATACTCCTAAGAAAAATTATATAGCTGATCAAAACTAAGAAGTAAACCTCAGGATCAATACTTCTCCTAATTCAAAGGCAGGAAAACAACTGAACATCCTATAGTCTCTGAGACCTCAATAACAATGCAGACACTGCTATACATATTTGTTGACACACAAACAAATATGCAGGTGCAAGTAAATCCTGGAATAACACTTGTTTTTCAATAGGTATTAGATGATAACAGATAGAAACCCACTAAGAAAGCATAGCAGTGCTCCAATTCCCTAATCATTACATTGTTCATGCCAGCCCCAAGGAAACAATTAAACAAATAAATAAATAGAGTGATCTGCATAGATCTCTATGCAGTATATACATTGCATTCTATGCAATTCCCTACTTGGTCAGGAGAATCAACCCCCATTCACATGCATGCAATCCCAGCACATCTATCCATAGCATTTCAGGACACTTCCTTCCTCTATAAACAGCCGATCAAGCCAGCAGTATGATGATGATACTATAAAAACGCACTGTTTCATTTCAGTATGCATTTCAAAAATACTTGGCCATTGGCAAATGTTTTACACAGTCTTAAGAGAAACAACTAAATACTTACTACTGACATCTACTTGCAAACTGTTTTGCTCAAAACTACAGCTCAGTGCAATGTTAAAGACTTGGTCTAATATCCACTGAAATCAATGAATATACTGTCATTCTTATACTAACAACAGAATCGGATTCTGTACAGGTGCTCTATACTCCCCTAGTCTGAAGTTCAGCATTTCAGCAGATGTTTGATCATTTCTCTGCTATTTCTACCTCACTAGGAGGGCAATTGATGGTCTCCTCTAAAATACCTTTGCTCATTCTATTATCGGCAGCAAAACTTTGCTCTAAAGAAAAGCTGTCCTGGCTCAGTTCCCTCTCATCAATTCATCTTTCCTCTTCAAACGAGACAGAATTTTCTCTTGCTGCTCCTTGATAAAACACTGGTTATGGAAACGGCTCACATCTCCTCTTTTCCCTCACAAAACTGTGGAAGTGAAGTACTTCCAAATGCAAATTGCATTCCTTCCGAGGAAGAAAGGAAAAACCACAACAAACCAAACCGACCAGGCAAACAAAAACTATCCCCAAACTTTGAACAGCTTCTGATTGCTTTCCCCCTCTGACTTCATTGCAGAACCAAGATTATATCACAGAGCAGGTCTCTTTCAACTTTCCACTCCAGCTACCACTGAAATCACCAAGGAAGATCTGATGGGGAGCACTGCAAACAGTATCAGACCTCAGTGCACACATATACACACAAGGAAAAATCAAACACAATCAAACACAATGTTCATCAGCAAAGCAAAAATAATCAACCTCATGGAGTTGTGGGAATTTCCCTCTGGCTTAATTCGGAGCTGAAATTGTGCGGGTTTCTCAGAAAAGGGTACTTACGAGATGCAGGCAGAGCAGTCCTGGCTCTGCAGCTAATGCTGATGAAAATCCAGAGGAAGAGAGCTGCCCTGCAGCCAGCTCGGGTAACCACAACCATCCTTCACTTCCTGGCTCCCTGTACTCCAAATGCCAGCCGCAGAAGACCTGCTTTTCTCCACTTTGGCCCCCTTCTCTCTCTCTCCTTCTCTTCCTCGGAGGAGGTGTCGAGGAGGTAAAGGGGGCAGGGCTTTACCTTGGGGTAGAAGCCAAACCCCCTCTTCGTCTGCTATCTTTGGGTTTGCAGCAGCAGGATAAGTCCCGGTACTTTTCTTTCCCTTATTTCTCTGTGTTTGTGCGTGTTTGTTTCTGTGCCTCCTTCTCAGAGAAAGGGAGAAAGAAAAAAAGAAAAAAAAAAAAAAGCCACGAAGTATCAAATAACAAGGATTGTAGAGTAGAAAAATAAATAATAATAAAAAAAAATGAAGATCAATCCCCTAAAAGACGTGGGAGGAGGGAGGGGAAAGGGAGATGGAGATGAAGGGAAGGAAGAAAGGCGAATAAAGCAGTTGGTGCCGCTAATGCTGCTGTTGATGCTACCACTGCAGCTGAGCCCGTCTTCCTGTACAGAGGAGCGCTGCTGAGAGAAGCTTGCAATAACCTCCCAGCTCAGATATATATACACAGTGTACACGCACACACAGCCCGGCAGCCAAACACACACTCACACAGAAGCAGGGAGAGGGGAGGGAGGGAGAGAGAGACACTCCCGCAGCACAGAAGCAGGCTCAGAGCCTCTCTCCTCATGTATTTATCATCTTCCAGCAGGAGGAAACGCTGCCACTAGCAGCAGCAACCTTCCTCCTCCTCCAAAAAAAAAAAAAAAAAAAAAAAAAAAGACAGGAGATGGGAAAATCCTCTCCCCTGCGCTCCCCTCCCCTTCCCTTCGCTTCCTCCAGCTCCTCCTTCTTCCTCTGCGCCCCTCGAGCCTCCAGGACCCCGATCGTCCTCGCTTGCCTGGCTCAGATGCAGAGCCGGGGGACGGCGGCGGGGATCGCGGCCAGGGCTGGGGCGGAGGGGGGCGGGAGCCAGTGCAGGGATCGGGGCTGGGGCTGCGGGAAGGTGGAGCGGGGCCGGGGCCGGGGGGGATGGGATGGGGTTGGGGACGGGGATGGGGATGGGGATGGGGTGGGGATGGGGATGGGGATCGGGGCCGGCTGCGGAGCGGAGCGGCGGGGCAGTGTCGCGGTGCCGCTGGAGCGGAGGCGCGGCGTCCCTGCTCGCCCCGCGGCCGGCTCCTGCCGCCCTCGCCGCCGCTCCCCCGCGGCTCCCCGAGCTCCAGCCTGCGGGGATCCGAGACAGGTGGCCAGCAGGCAAGTCCTCCGAGCCGTCCTAGGTCTGGTGGGGAGCGAGCATCATCCCGCCTGCAGAGAGCTGGGGCTGCAGGAGCCGCTAATGCAGATGTTGCCATTCTGTAATTAATTCTAAACCCGAGAGCGAGCCAGGAAGCAAGCTGCATTGAAGTTTCACTGTGGTTTTCACCTACAAGAGATGACGGAGACAACCTGGCCATATCCCAGCCTTATGCTTTAGGGATGGCGAGAGTCTGACTCTTCTTTTCCATCCCTCTTCATCCCTCCTGCCGTTGCCCTTAAACAGCTGAACTGAAAGTTATTGCTCACCAGATACGGTAGAATAATGAGGATAGGGAGTTATTCATGGATTATTTATTCTACAATCAATGAGGCAAAGAAAAATGAAAACAATTATTTCTCAGGTGTTATATAGAGAAAGCTGAGAAATGGAGAGGCATAATTTCTTTAGAGGAGCCCCAAAGCAGGGATAAATTATTTTCAGTGACTAATACACATGCTGTTAACAAGTACCTGCTGTTATTTAGTGACTGTGATGAAGTGGTTAAGACCATGTGTAAGATGAGATTTTCAGAAAGGCCTTGGGATATTAGGATCCTCAATCCTATTGCCTTTCAGAGGGAGTACAGTGCCTGTCTTTTAGGTCACTTTGAAAGCTCATCCATACATAATATGTGATATCCCAGGAGAGCTGTGGCCTAGAGGTTTGAGCATAGCCCAGGACAAAGCTTTAATGCCAGTCCTGGGAAAAGTGTTTCTGTAGTCTTGTCCAACTGCCATAATTTTTCCTCCTTGAGGCTTTCCCTGCTTTGCCTTATCCATAAAGAGTATTAATATATCAATATTTCAAATGCTTTCATAGAAGTAATGCCAATATGTATACAGCAAATGTGAAATGGAGTGCACTATGAATAAGTTTTATTATACTTATTTCTGTTTTTGAAAGAATAAACATTTCCCTAGAGACTCTGTTACCTCTTCCCTGCATTATCCTGAGCTCTTTGCAATGCCCTCCCCTTTCTTTATAACCCACAGATACATTTTAATGTCCATCATTAAGATATGTGAGTTTTTTGGGAATTAACTAAGAACCAAATATTGATTAATGACATTAAACTTGTTCAAAAAAGCCTCTTAACTTCCTTCTTGTTTACATCTTCTGTTCCCCTCCTGCACTATATCCCACAATTTTTCAAGTTCGTTAACCTACATTTTCTTTTCTTTAGCTACCACTGAAATGGTAGAGCTGATACAGTACCACAAACGGTCTGCAAATATTCACAGAAAAAAGACTGATTATGACATGCAAAAATGTCTGCCACTTTCATTCTGAGTTCTTGAAACCCTTTCTGTGTTCAATGGCCTTTATAATTCATTTGAAGAAGTAATAAACAGCTTATTTGAGTAAGTACTTAAAGGCTCAGCAGACCATTTTTCAAACAAAATTTCTGTTTCTTAAGGCTCTTCCAACAGGCACAACAAAAAACATATTTGCTCATCGCCCATTCATACTTTTATACCTATATACCTCTATATCACCTACCTCATCAAGTCCTCCAGAAGACAAGAACGTTGACTTGATTTTAGTTGTTCAAATTTCACACTTGTTTAGCATATTATGATTTGGGTTTTCAAAAATGTACTCAAATTGATCATAAGTAGATAGACATTGAAAAACAACCAGCTATAGAGGACAAGACAATAATTCAAAGCAGGAAGATCCAGCAGGATGGTTGGTGAATATTTCAATAATGGTGACAGTAGAAAATTTCCTTGTGGTTTGAGACGGAAGAAATGGCACAGATTATTGCATTTTTCCCCACCTCGGAATAGGATCAGTCCTTAAAAACTGCATAAAATATTTAAACTATATAGCAACAGAAATGAGTTGCGCAAGGGTAATGCAATTATTTTTAATATAGCCGCAAGTGAGGCCTGCAAAATCATTAACTTTGACTGATTCTGTCACAAAAAAATCATTACAAAGATCTTCAGGCATTCCTTAGTCCTATAAAACAAGCTAACCATATATAGTCTTTTATTTCCTTTCTTTTTCAGGGAGCATGTTGTGAAGTATTACTTTACATGATTCAACAAATCCAAGTTGAATATATTAACCTTTGCAATGAAAACATGGTCAGATTGTGTTAGGTCACAATATGAAGTTATTAGATACTTCTACTCATTCTCCTAACCTTTCTGTTCCAGAGTGTAAATGTAAGGATGTTTCTCAGCAAGCAGTGAGACATGCCTGCAGTCTCAGCAGGGCACCTACAAGCTTCAGCACCCGTGTCCTGCAAATGTCAAGTGTTTGCAGCTTGGGCCAACAGTGTTCTCCCCTCTATAGGTCAGGAAAGTGTCACAGCACACTGGGACAGCCACACCAGCCAAGAGGTGCAGAAGGAGGATCTTCCATCAAAACTACTCCCACATAAGTCCCTTATTTTCATTTCTCAGATCATAAAATCATATAATTGTTTAGTTTGGACAAGACCTTTAAGATTGTATAGTCCAGCACTGCCAGGCCACCACTAAACCATGTCCCAAAGTGCCACATCTACACATCTTTTTAATATTTCCAGAGTGGTGACTCAGCTACTTCCCTGGGCAGTCTGTTGTTATGCTTGGCAACCCTTTTAATGAAGAAATTTTTCTCAGTATCTGACCTAAACATGTCACAATTTGAGGCCATTTCCTCTTGTTCTGTTGCTTTTATACTTGGGAGAAGAGACCTGACCCCTGCCTGGCTACAACCTTACTTTCAGGGAGTTGTAGAGAGTGGTAAGGTCTCTCCTGAGCCTCCTTTTATCCGGGCTAAACACTTCCCTTGTCTGCTCCTCTTAAGATTTACTCTTTAGACCCTTCCCCAGCCCTTCTCTAGAAATGTACAGCACCTCAATATTTTTTTTTTTCAGTAAGGGGCCCACAACCAGCCAAAGAATTTGAGTTGCAGCCTCACCAGTGCCAATGACCACTTCAACACTCCCAAAGCATTAAAAAGCAGAGAGATATCTCAGTCAACTGGTGAAACCTCTCTGGCAATTAGAAAGACACTACAGTGTTAAAAGACTCCAGTTTTTACAGCTGTACACAAATTTTATTGAGCTTAATGGAAATTGTACACACATATTGATGAATGAATAGATCATTCTAAATTTACAATGGCTGTCAAGCAATGTCTGCTAAATGGAATTCATCCTGGATAGAACTATATTTACAGTATGTGAATGTCAAGAGGGAAAATACAATGTCAGAAAGCTAGAAAGGATAATTCAGAATTTCAAACGCTGGTGGGACCAAATGGCATCCAATAACATGATAAGTTGCTTCCACAGAAGAAAATGAGCCAACTTGAAAAAGAACATGCAACTTTTGAATTAATACTGAAAAGTAAATATTAAGCTTTTTTATGCCTATCAAACTGTCATTTTTAAATTTTGTTTCCCTTTTATATTTTTGGTTTCCCCAGCCCTCTTGCATGGTAGAGCTCTAAAAATCATCTATAGCAGAATTTTACATCCAAATCTTTAGAATGCTAAATATGTATTTCAAATTATGACCAAACAAGGCTTTATGGTCACATGCATAGAATGAAATGCCTGATAATGGACAGATCTATTACTGGAGGAATTCTTGGGTTTATTAAGAAAAATGTCAGGTTTTCTGCTGGGATTCTTGATACTCATGGGTATTTCTCTGAGAAAGAAGGAATCACATGAATATTGTGATCCATCTGCCTATGAGAAACTATAAAGATCTGAAGAAAATGCTTATTTTCCAGAAATGCAAGGAAAGTCTTTCCTAATCTTAATGCATCTGAAAAAGAAGATGAAGGTGCATTAGCAGAAAAGATGCAGTATCTTCTTCTTGCTCCACGCAGCTAAAAATATAGGATTATATTTTGAAGTGAATGTATTTTTGTCTTGACCATCAGTTAATTATGGTAATTTTATTAAAACAAGAAGATAAGAAATGGAAATATGTGTTTACACAGACATCAAAATAAATTGAAGATGTTCGGAAGTTTTCTGTTTCATGTCTCTGTATCTTTTGTAGTCTAAACATCTGCTTAAGACAGCATCTACCTTTAGAAATTTCTTTTGTGATACCTTGCTCTCTATTAATCTGCACTGTATATGAAACAATTTGACAAACAATTATGAGGGGCAGTTGAGGTGACTTGGTTTGTTCAGCCTGGAGAAAAGGAGACTGAGAGGGGACCTCATTGTGGTCTTCAACACCATCAGAAAGGGAAGCAGAGGGGCAGGTACCGATGGCTCCACTCTCCTGACCAGTGACAGGACCCAAGAGAATGGCATGAAACTGAGTCAGGGGTGTTTAGTTTGGATATCAGGAAAAAGTCTTTCACCCAGTGGCTGGCTGAGCCTTGGAACAGGCTCCCCTGGGAAGTGATGATGGCACCAAGCCTGACAGAGCTCAGGAAGC